ACTCCATTAAATAAAACGATCTTTTGTGATCTCTTTAGTTTATGATACGAACTTAATTTGCAATTCCTCCAAAGATTATTATCTTAAGCTAGATTTTTAGCATTGCATTTGCTAATTATTGTACCATGCAGAGTTGATTAATTTGAATAAGATACCTTAGCCAAATCATGAAACCTTTAGATCATTACATGATATTACTTGATACAAATCTGCATATGTAATTCTTGGTCATTTAGACCTCACTTGTTTTGCAAACCAGATACACATAAACACTCAGAAAATGTGCAAGCACAGGTTTTCAAGAAACATACTTCAAGTTTATAAGCACAAATGTACATGAAACAAGAAGTAGATAAACACCAACTTAAGTTGGGTATTGGTCATCTTGCGATAAAGTAACTATTAACTAATGAATTTAAAAAAAAATGAAAAGCAAGAAATAACAACCCAGGAAAGCAAAATATGAATCACAATTATTCACCTTAGAAATTCATTTTGTATCAAAAGTGTCTCCCTGCAGCATCAAAACAGGCACCGACCAATTAATCCTGAGAACAACAATAAATAAGTAACATTCTCAAAGAAAAGTAACCCCAAAATATGCACAAGTAATTTTAATTAGATTCGAATCTGGTTCGATCATGCGATAGTTACACAAGTAATTACAGCATCTCTTCAAAATAATGGTAATCGAGAAAAATAATCAACCCCAACCTCTCTTCAAAATAATAGTAATCGAAAAAAATAACCAACCCCAACCTAATTTAATATCATTCTTTGCAACAACCAAGAACCCTTAAACTGTTCAAAAGCACCATCCTTCAGATTGTTCACCTGATGAAACAAAATTAAGTGCAAAAATCCAAGTTCATCCCAGCACACAATTAATCACGTAATATAGCTTAAAAGAATGAAATAACGTAAACTAACAAAGAGCCTAAACCATTACACTCTCTATAAAAAAATATTAATCCAATCATCAATTATATTCATGTACAGACTCTTCTTTTGTTACATAAAAAGGAAGTAAAATATTTTCGCCTTTCTTCGAAGCTTAACACAATATTCATTATATCTTAGTCTACATATCTTGCACAATAGTAGCAAATAGCATTATTTAATCAAAGCCCATATTCAGTCATCTTCATAAGAGACACTTGTCAACCTCATTGCAGTTCATAGTAAAAGACCATATGGGATTTGAGAATGGAGGAATGGAAAGATTATACATAATGGAATTACATTCTTTTACCGTTCATATTCGTCATGTACTCCCCTCCCGCAACATCTTCATAAGAGACACTTGTCAACCTCATTGCAGTTCATAGAAAACAACCATGTGGGATTTGAGAATGGAGGAATGGGGAGAATATACATAATGGAATTACATTCTTTTACCGTTTATATTCGTCATGTACTCCCCTCCCGCAGCATCCGACGACAGCTGACGTTGCAGCCTCAAAACTGCCGGCCATTCGAGCGACGCACCCCCTCTTGAACTTCCTCTCAGTTTGAGCTCGTAGTCAGTGGCCTTCATAATTCAATAACGGAATTAAAGATAAATCAACATTCTTTTGGAGACCTTTTTTTTTTCTTAAATTACATATTCAAAATACAATGAAAGAAGTATCAATGGATACTAAAATAAACACATTCATCACAGTACCTCTATTTTCTCCCAAAAGATGTGCTTTTTTTTTTTTTTTTTTTTTTT